GTCTTTTGGTGGACATATGTAAGCATTTCTATTAGAACTGGGTCATAGGTTAGTACAGGGGTTTCCAATCTCCAGGCCATGGACCAATACTGGTCTGTGCTCTGTCAGGAACCAGGCCACACAGCAGGAGGTGAGCGGCTGGTGAGAGCTTTACCGCCTGAGCTCCGCCTCCTGTTAGATAATGGGCATTAGATTCCCATAGGAGCACGAACCCTATTGTCAGCTGCACATGGGAGGGATCTCTACTAATGATTGATGATCAGAGGTGGAAGGGTTTCATCTTGAAACCATTCCCCCTGCTACCCGCCGGCCCAGTGAAAAAATTGTCTTCCACAAAACCGATTCCTGTTGCCAAAAACTTCTCCAAAGTGCTGTGTCCATTTTCACTCCCACCACTACCTCGTTCATTTCATTATCTCCATGGTATTCCACCGTATAGAGGTAATATAATTTAAAGAGCTATCAATTTATGAATATTTGAGTGGTTTCTAGGATTTTTCTACTATAAACAAAACGGCAATGACTATCCTCCTGGCATACATGTCTTTGCAACCATGTACAAGTATGTTTGTAGGATAAATTTCTAGAAACAAAACTGCTTAATCAATGTAATTAGGCTTAAAATTTTTACACACACTGCCAAATTATCCTCCAAAGAGATAGCAACAATGAGTACTCTTACCACTAGTGTACCAGTGCCTATTTCACACCTTATACTCACTGTAAATGATCAAACCACTAAGTGAAATATGGTATACTGTTATTGTACCAAATTAAGTTATATATGTTAGTAGGAACTTGCAAAAGAAACAAGTTTGAAAAAAAATCTAAATAGTCAACTTTTCATCTTCATGAAATTAAAATCTGAAATATGTGATTTTCAGAGAAATTATTAAACACTAGGTCACATCCCCCTGAAAAACCACAGCAATTATGCACATTTTTTTTTAATGTGAGTGTTTGAAAAAAAGAATCGTGCTTGTACATGCATACTACAACTGTGTTTCTCTTTGACTCTCAACACTGTTATCTCTCAAGCACCCACTGGGAGATAAAAAAGGATAGACAGCTGGCTTTAACTATATTTACCCTCCCCGCTATGACACGCACAAAGATCAAACAAAGAAAGGTTCTGAGGTGAGACAACATAATGCATAACACTAAATGCATACACCGCACACATAAAAAACAAATCAGAATGTCTTATAAAAACATAGTCTGTACATACTAAAGAAAAAAACCTCAAATTGTAAAACTTTCAATTAATTCACATAAAAAGAATGGAAAAATTTATTTTTTTCTTATGTCTTTTTTTAATGATAATACCACCATGCTCATCTTGAAAATTAAACAAAAAAAAAAATTCCACCTACAAATGACTAAGGCATTTTCTACAGAAAGAACATTCCCCACCATCTATACCTTATATTGACATAGCACTTTGCAACTACAAACATGTTTTACTTACACTTCTTATCTGATCCCTATGAGCTGGCCTCAAGCTACATTTTCACCCTTCTCATCTAATATTCCCCACTCTGGCCCATTTATCACTTCTCTCCTTCATAACTCACTCCCTCATTCTACACTCCATCCCCACCCCAGGCCAACTAAATCTCTTTGCTCATCTTTCTCCTTCTCTTGAAATGGCTTTCATTCCACCATTGTCTAGCATAAACGTCATCTCTCCCATGAAGTCTTCCCTGATGCTCTCATTTAAAAGTAATCACTTGTCTCTTTGAACTGCTTAGAATATTTAACACCTCCTATCTTGCAGTATATTGCTTTAATATATGCCTTAATCTCCCCGGCATAATACATTTCATAAGGAAAGGGATTCTCTTACTTAAGACTTGTGGGCATCAAGCATAACCTTTAGACACATAAAATTTACTTGTTGAATGAATGAATGAACTCTAAAGAACCCTGCAAATTTAAGGTGTTAAACTCATTTAACAGATGAGGGAACTGTTTCAGGGAAGTTAAATGATGTCCTTAAAACCAAAACAACTAACAGTGGAGCTGAAACTGAAACCCAGGCAGACCTTTTGTTCCTTCCACTACAGCTAGCTTGGTAACAAAGATCTGAGTTTTTCAGTTGTATTATTTTCATGTATTCTACATAAGTAGACTGTATTCACTTAAGGAAATAGAACCAGATCAAAATATGATCATAAATTAGAGCAACACTACATCATAAACTCAGGGTTGACAATAACTATTAGAGTTGATTTTTAGTAACTGGTAGAAAGAACTCTAACAATACAAATGAAAGCACACTGTTAATAGGTAAAATTCATATGCTCTCTAAAAGCCATTACAATGTAGGTTATCATTTCTTAATATACAATTGATAGTCTTAAGCAGAATGTTTATGAGGAATAATTAGTTCAGTAAATTATCTCTTGAATATCTGCTATAAACCTGGACAATGTGTTGGGAACTTAAAATGCAACAATACATAGTCCCTGCAATCAAGAACAGTAAGTATGACAGTGACATAAAGCTTCCTTATTTGGGCATTATTATGATTACTAAAAGTCTGAAATGGAATATTATGGATATTCAAATAATAACATCTATTTCTAAATCATACAGGTTGATGCAAAAGTAATTGCAGTTTTTTCCATTAAAAGTAATGGCAACTTTTGCACCAACCTAATATTTCTTTGCAGACTTCACTGAACAAAATTTAGGCCTTTATTAATGATTCAGTTATTATGAGCTCAATTACATAGACCCTTAGGTATACCAAGGTTATCTGCCCTTAAAAGTCCTTGACTATAAGAAGGTTTAAGATTTATGTCTGTTTTTCTGCTGTTTGTGCATGTGTTTTCTGAATATCATTTAATTTCATCTTTCTCTTTCTCTTCCAGCCATTCAAACTTCCCCAATACTTTTTGAGCCCCTACTATGGTCTAAGCAGTGTTCTAGGTGCTAGAGATATAGGAGAGACAAAAAAGCCCAGGCATCAAGAAAATATATATTCCAGTGGGAAAACAGATCACAAGAAATATAAATATATAATGTCAGGTAAGTATATATACTCAGAAGAAAACTAACGTAGGCTAAAGGGACAGAATAGATTAGTTTAGGGTTGGGTGATCAGGGAACACCCTACTAATATAGCATTTGAATACAGACCTATATGAAGTGATGAAATAAGCTAGATAGACATCTTGGGGAAGAGCTCTTTAGGCAACTGCAAAGTCTCTTAGATTAGAATGAGCTTGATGCATCTAAGAAATACTAGCACAAGTGTGGTTGGAAATAAAAGTGAAGCTGAGTGTGGGGGAAGATGACAGAATATAATATCGGAAAGGCCCACAGAGGTGAGATCCTGTAGGTTCTTGTAGGCAATGGTAAGGAGTTCAAATTTTATTTTAAGAGTAGCCATGAATGAATTTTGAATAGGAGAGTGACATGATCTAACTTCCATTGGGGGAGGAGGGGAAAGACACTAGTGGCTATAAGGAGGCAAGAGTAGATGCAAGGAGACCCGAGTCCAGAAGGATGCTATATACTAAACAAGAAATGGCTGCTGGCCAGGCGCAGCAGATCATGCCTGTAACCCCAGCACTTTGGGAGGCTGAAGTGGGTGGATAACAAGGTCAGGAGTTCAAGACCAGTGGCCAACATAGTGAAACCCCGTCTCTACTAAAAATACAAAAAATTAGGCAGGTGTGGTGGTGTGTGCCTGTAAGCCTAGTTATTCAGGATGCTGAGGCAGAAGAATCACGTGAACCCAGGAGGCGGAGGTTACAGTGAGCCGAGATCGGACCATTGCATCCCAGCCCGGGCGACAGTGCGAGACTTCATGTCAAAAAAAAAAAAAAAAAAGAAATGGCTGCTTAGACAAGAGTGGCACTGGCCAAGGTGGTGAGAAGTAAACACATTTAGAACATATTTTGAAGACAGACCAACAAGATTTGCTGATGGACTAAAGATTAAATATGAAGGGAAAGAGAAACTAAAAGATTTTGGACTGGGAAATGGATGAAAGGTGATGCCAGACAGAAGAGCATATTTGGGGGTAAAAATCAAGGGATCTTTTGTCTGTGTAAGTTTGAGATATCTACTAGACAAATCCAACAAGCCAAGTAGACATCTTTCAGAAGAGAAAACATATATTTGGGAGGCATTAGCATATAGACAGTATTTATAGCCATAGGCTTGAATAAGATTGCCTAGATAGGAAACAAATATAGACAGAGGAGATTGAAGGATTCAGCCCAGCACTATACCCCAACATTTTGATGTCACAAAGAAAAGTATAGCTAGCAAAGGAGATTGGGAACAAACTGCCAGTAAAATTTAACAGGAAAACCAGCAGAGTATGGTTTCTCCAGAAAAAACAATCAAACAGAGTGTTTCAAGAAGTGGTGACTGATTATGTCAAATGCTACTGTGGGGTGTGTCAAATTCTTTGGGGAGATTTAGTAAGATTATGCTTCTTTGCTGTTATATCATTTCTTGATGTTGGGAGTGCAGCTGCTCCTAGGAATCCTTCCTACCTCTTTCTAATTGTTTTTACTTCTATAATAGGAAATTATACAACCAAGCTTCTTAACACTATAAGCAAAGTAATTTTAAATAGATTTTGAAAACGATGTGAGAGGGTCTCCAATAAGCAAAGTGAAAGAGCTTTGTGAATGACTTTGGTAACATTATTTATCCTCATCCATGATCAAGAGAGCCAAGGTTTTTGATAAACTCTAAAAAATTATATGGAAGTTATATACAGAAACTAGAAAATGATGAAGAAAAAGAGGTCATAAACAAGCAATGTTTTAGAGAATAACCATCCTCACATGGGGAAAAACTCCAACAAAACAAACAGCTAAAAAAACCCCACACATTTATAAGGACAAAAAACTTAGCCCTAATAGATTTATCTTTCAGTAGCTTTGGTAGTTGCATGCATAATTCCTTACAGAGGGGCAGAATATGACACAGGCATATTGGTAAGAATAAATTAATTCAAAATTTAAACTACTTACCGGCAAGCACAAGGGTAATATTCAGTACAATGAATATTCCACAAAATAGGCCAACTCTAAAAGTAGTCCATGCTGGTGCAGGCTGTGGACAGAAAAACAGCATTTTGAGTATAGGACAAAACACTGATTGTATTTACTAATATGCTGTAATAAAATAGTAGAGTGAGTCTCAACATTCTACTATGAAAATAATATTTTATGTTCTAAATTTTTATAAATCGGAACCAGAGAATCAACCTTCATCATACTATAATACTATTCAAGTTGCCAATTAATTGAGTTTTTTTTTAATAGAAATCTGTGTCATGAAATAAGCAAGATTACAATCTTAGGCTTAAATTATAGTATGTGGATTCTACATTCGAGGAATCAACCAACTGTGGATTGAAAATATTCAGGAACAAAAACCAGTAAAAAATAACAAAACAACAAGAAAAAGTAATACAAATAAAAACGTTGAGTATTAACAACTATTTACACAGCATTTACACTATATTAGGTCTTATAAGTAACCCAGAGATCATTTAAAGTATGTAAGAGGATGTGTACAGGTTATATGCAATACTATGCCATTTTATAACGGACTTGAGCATCCATGGATTTTGGTATCCATAGGATACCAAATAATAATAAAGCAAACCTATAACTATTATCCATATTTAGAAGCTGAACATTTCCATTAACTTTGAAGTCCCTATTCCTCCCTGATCCCAAAACCTTCCCTCCTCACCAGAGATAACCATTTCTATGTTTTCTTTAGCTTACCATATCTACAGGCATTCTTAAACACCCTAATTTTTTGAAACCAATTTTAAAATGTTTATTCAAAAACAACTGACATAAATAAATTGCACATACTTAAAGTATAGAATTTGTGTCTTTGCTCCCTGGATGCTTTTAAGATTCTTCTCTTTATTTACAAGCAGTTTGACAATAATATGCTTAGGATTTTTAAAAACTGCTTTACTGCCTAAATTGATATACAATAAACTGTATATATTTAAAATGTATGATTTGATAAGTTTTGATACTGTATAAACATCTACAAAACCATCAGCATAATCAAGACAAAGAACATATCCATGACTCCCAAGAATTTCCCATGTGCCTTTGTAATCCTTTCCTCCCAGCCTACCCTACCTCACTCTATCCACAAGCAACCACTGATCTGCTTTCTGTCACTATTTATTAGTTTGCATTTTTCCTGGAGTCTTAGGTTAATGATATCATACAGTAGGCACTTTTTTTTAATGCTTTCTTTCTCTACATATAATTAATCTGAGGTTTATCCACGTTGTTACATTTATCAATAGATTGTTGCTTTTTATTGCTGAGTAGTATTTCATTGTATGGACATACCACAAATTGTTTATCCATTCACCTACTGATAGACATTTAGGTTGTTTAGATGCTATGAACATTTGTGTTGAAGTCTTTATATGAACATATATTTGCATTTGTCTTGGGTAAATACCTAGGAGTGTAACAGTTAGATCATATGGTAGATGTACTTTTAAGAAACTTCCAAACTGTTTTCAAATGTGTTTATTCATTATACATTTTATATTCCACCACAGCGTATTAGAAAAGAGAGTTCCTACTCCTCCATCATTTAGTATGATTAGTCGTTTTTAGTCACCTAACAGAGAATGTATTATCTTACTGTGATTTTAACTGGTATTTCCATAATGCCTAATGATACTGAGCATTTCGTCACATGCTAATTTGCCACCTGTACATCTGTGAAGAACTGTTCAGGTCTTCTGCCCATTTTGATTGTTTTCCTTCTATTGAGTACTGGAGTTCTTTACATATTCTAAATATAAGTCCTTTAACAGATATGTTTTATAAATATTTTCTGCTAGTCTCTTGCTTTGCTTTTCATTCTCTTATGTGTCTTTTGGAGAGCATACGTTTTTAACTTTGATGAGGTGCTTTTGGTATCACTTCTAAGAAATCTTTGCATAACTCAACGTTATTAGGACTTTCTTCCATATTTTCTTCTAGAAATCTGCAGTTTTCAGTTTTCATTTAGATCTATGGTACATTTAGAACTTTATGGTGTGAAGAATGGATGAAAGTTCATTTTTTTTTTTTCGTATATGGAATTCAACTGTTTCAGTATCATTAGTTGAAAATGCTATCTTTCTCCACTAATCTGCTTTATATCTGTATCAAATATCTGTTGTCTGTAATATGCTACTCTATTTTTGGACACTCTATTCTGGTCCATTGATCTATTTGCCTACCATGACATTACTACCACACTCTCTTGATTACTGTAGCTTTAATAAGCTTTCATAAGATAATGTTAATCCTTCAATTTATGTTCCAAAGTTGCTTTGGCTATTCTAGGTTCTCTGCCTTTCCATATACTTTTTTTTTTTTTTGAGACAGAGTCTTGCTCTGTCACTCAGTGCAATCTCAGCTCACTGCAACCTCCACCTCCTGGGTTCAAGTGATTCTAGTACTTCAGTCTCTCAAGTAGCTGGGATTACAGGCATGTGCCACCAAACCCAGCTAATTTTTGTATTTTAGTCGAGATGGGGTTTCATCATGTTGGCCAGGCTAGTATTGAACTCCTGGCCTCAAGTGATCCACCTGCCTCAGCCTCCCAAAGTTCTGAGATTACAGGCATGAGCCATTGTGCCTGGCTTCCAAATAAAATTTTAAATCTGCTTACCAATTTTACAAAAAAAAAAAAGTCTTCTGAGATTTCTGAGCTGGACTGTATTATATCTATAGATCACCTGAGGAAGAAACCATGTGTCTTTAAAATACTGGGTTTGTGCAAGATACCCATGAACACAGGATCTCTCTCATTCAAGTCTTTAATTTTGCTCAGCAGTGTTTTGTTGTTTTCAATGTAAAGGCCTTACACATCTTTTGTCAGAATTATTACTAAGCATTGTATATTTTGATTATATTATAAATAACATTGCTTTAACATTTTTTGATTTCCATTCAAAAATGTTTCAAAACTTTTTTTATTGTTCTTGCAAGTATCTAGACAAATGATTTTACATATTGGTCTTATATTTGGTGACCTTGCTAAACTCATTTATTAGTTCTAGTAGCTGTTCTATAGATTCACTAGATTTTCTATATAGATCATCAAGTCGCTGGCAAAACCCCACTGGTTTTACTTCTTCCTTTCTACCCTGAATGACTTTCATTTCTTTTTCTTCCCTTACCATACTGGCTATAATCTCCAGCACGATGTTGAATACAGGTGTTAAAAGTGAATACCCTTTTTTGGGCCACGTCTTAGGGAAAAAGCATGCAGTGTTCATCATTGAGTATGATAATAACTGTAGAGGTTTTATTTTTTTTTAATAGATGCCTTTCATTAGGTTATGGAAGCTCTTTCTGTTATTGATTTCTATTCCACTGTTGCCTGAAAATATACTTTGTATGACTTAAATCCTTCTATATTTATTGAGACTTCTTTTATGACACAGAAGACATCACTTAATAAATGCTTTCTTTTTTTATAACTACTGTGTAGATATCATTTAATAAATGCTCTTCTGGAGTAACTGCTGCATTTTGGATGAAGCTATATAGCAATCTAGCACATCTGAACCCATCAGATCATTTTTTTTAAGTCACATCTTAATCATTTGATGATACCAACAAGTTAACATGTCAGTAAGAATAAACAAGAGAAAAGTACAGTATGAGAAGAGAAAGGTGGAAGACATTATAATTCAGAATGAAGTAAAATATAGCATATAATATTTTAAAAACTAAAATAAGAAAAGTAGCAACTACTTATAAACTTTGGCTGAAAATTTTTTTAAGGTAATGGGGCCAGCTAAATATCATGTTGATTATTAATAGGTGAAACCAAACGAACTGCTGGAACCAAATGCTAACCTGAGCAGCTCCCAAAGGGGGCACACGTAAACGCTTCATAGCCTTTTGTCTGTCACCATCTTCAAGTTCATTGGTCACTACAGCCTAGAAAGACAAAGTATTACATTTTGGTTACGTTATACTAAACTTGAGTGATGCACAAATAATTCTGCACCATTTATATATATGATATTCTGACAACTTTTTGGTGAATGTATACTGATAAAAGAAAATGAAAAAAAAAATCACAAGTAAGGCATATATATTCAAAGTTAGCAACTAGTTACAAAATAACAGAAATAAGGAGTTGCTTCCCTAAAAATAAAGCATGTAACTGAAAATATGTGGTAAATAAACGAGATTATTGTACCTCAGTTTCAGAGATAAGCTGGTTGATTTTCTTGCAAGTATAAAATGGGGCCACTTCTACATGAGCCACTCGCCAATCTGCTCCACGAGATGTTTCCAGGATCTTGTCATGCTTTTTAAGGATTTTTCGAAACCCTGTAAAATTCAGATTCTACAGAAAGAAATGAGAAACACAATTATAATTTCTACTACCATCAAAAAAGATGAAAAAGAATAAGCACTAAGCACTGACAGAGCTGGCTGGACAAGGATTGAGTACTCAAGGAAATGGCAAAGCTTTCATAAAAGCATCTACTACTAAAAGGATGACTCTTCTTTTTTATTTCTTTTATTCATTTCAAGGTAGTATGCTATTAGTAACACAAAGAAACCCTGAACTATGAACACTATTATTTCTCTTCCAAGTAAATTAATGAAAGTCCTAAGCTCAAAATGTTTTTATTTCCTGTTTTCTGTGTATATTTATTTTCAAAATAGCTAATTTCTATTATTTTGCTGCTTTGGTCAAAAGAATTATCTTCAGAAAATGTTTTGCATTTGCCATGCAATGAACACATTTATTTAGTTCTTTGTTTTCTGAAGGACTGGTACAGGAGTACACATCTCTCCCTGCCATGCAGTCACGCATGTTCCAGTAAGGAAAATGGAAGATCACCCAGTGCTCTTCACTTTCATGTTCCTTCCACCCATTCTCAGTTTGCATATGGGAGTGCTAAGAAGAGTAAGTAGAAACAAAGCAGTGATCATACGTACAGGGTTCAGTTTATAATGGGTAGAAGTCCCTACTTTTCCCCAATTTCTACAATAACAAAATACTACACTTTCATCATCTCAAATTCTGCTGTTCTTTGCCCAGCATGCAAAAAAGCTGAAAACTCAAATTGCAAGGTTAGATCTTTAAACCAGAGGTCTCCCAAATTTGCTGATTACATGTTCCTAACAGTAAAATATTGTGCACTCACTCCAAAATAGGCTTTCCTTACTTATTTGTTTACATATTTTTCCCTCATGCTTTAATGTATGATCTTAAAATCTGTGTGGGGTGCATACATACATCATGACTTAGAGATAGCTTTTAATCAATCTTCCTTTCTCCTTCATTCTCAAAATAAATGTATTCTTACAGAATAGATGACCCCCAAAGAATAGAAGATAAAGCAGAACTTTCATAATTAACTATTACTTTTGTTTTCCCAAGGAGCATTTTATAATGACCCCAAACAAAAGTTGCTAGGAAAGTTAATACAATGAAATTTAACAAAGATTTTTCCATGTAACACACAAACATAATTTATGAACTATGATATGGTAACGTTGTTATACCATTATAGGAAAGAGGAAATACATTTTTTGTTTTTTAAATTATAAAGCAATGAACAAATCTCAAAGCAAAGGAATTTATCACTATATAAACATATGTAATTATTTTTCTACTAAATTGTTTTCTTACTAGGTTTGTCTTCAAATGATAAAATATTAAATCACTAAAGAACAAAGTAGAATTATAGAAGAAAATGATAAAAATAAGCACATGCATTAGCAATTTAAGGTTACTGCAGATATGGGACTTTAATTACTTTTTATTTAAAAATTCTAACACTCCAGGTAATACTTTTGTCACATAATCTTTAGTTTTAACATGGTATACCATCCTGTGATGATCCTAACCACTCACTATAAGTAATAATCACAAGAATAAAATGAAAAAAAAAATAGTGCATAAGGTCTCTTTAAAGATCAGGGAGATGCTTTTCTCAATAACTTTTAAAAATACGATTTTATTGCAGCCCATGGACAGGAAGACTGGAAGGATTCTTTCAGCTGCAAGTTGAAAAGTCAGGGTCTTTGTTTTATTAGTGTCAGCTGCAGAAAAATTACCTATCTGATAGCTTTTGTAGAAATTTTGCTATTGGTTAGGAGGACTATAAAAGCCCATACGGGCCAGGAGTATTGGCTCATGCCAGTAATCCCAAAGCTTGGGAGGCCAAGGCAAGCGGATCACTTTAGGTCAGGAGTTCAAGACCAGCCTGGTCAACATGGTGAAACCCCATCTCTACTAAAAATACAAAAATTAGCCGGGGACAGTGGCGAGCATTTGTAATCCCAGCTACTCAGGAGGCTGAGGTAGGAGAACTACTTGAACCCAGGAGGCAGAGGTTGCAGTGAGCCGAGATCATGCCATTGTACTCCAGCCTGAGTGACACAGTGAGACTCTATTTCAAAAAAGAAAAAAAAAAAGCCCTTACATAGCCAACAGTGGCTGTGGCTGGAGAGACATATTATTTCTATTCATGACTATCAGAGCTGCCTCTAAAAACAGGAAGCAAACTGTTAGTCCCTGAGTTGTGGGCTACCCCTAAATATTATACAAAAGTTTTTAGAACATGAATCTTCAAAATTAGAAGTCTTGTTAACACAGTTTTATCGCCTCTGACACATGGCTTTTAGCCAGTAGGAACCCCAAGAATAATAACATGTTAAGGATTTTCCTTTTTGGAACTGATCCACTAGCAATACTTTAGGGTATTTCCATTTATTGAAATTTCTCATTTACTTGAAAGTGCCATTTTCTAGGGTAAGAATCTAAGTACCTGATAGTTCTGCAGCAGGATGAGACTGAGGTAGAACTCGCTGAAGGCCAGTTTAAGGTCTTTAATATTTCTATGTTGGACACGTTCCTCATGGGACAAGTGGAAGACTGGCTTTCTGCGTTGTCGCAGCGTAGTTACACCAGTGCTTTCTTTCTGCGCATCCAGCGATGACTGAAGCTCGTTCTGAAGTGTAGCAAACCTGCGCTGAGCCTCTGCGAGCTTCTCTATAAGAAATAAAACAGAATTGTCAAATCAGTAAGATAAAAAAGTTCCTACTGACTTCTGAATTTTTAATAATAATTCCCATTTGTTCCCCTAGAATTTCTAGGAAAAAAAACTGCTACTTGTAATATTTAGAACTCGATAGGAAAAAATATTTTTGTGTAACACACTCCTTTCATTTTACCCCCTACAAAACCTCATGTGCCTTTCTTTTTACAAAATGAATAAATAAAATGTAAAGAGCCACTAAGAGTGAAAATGCAGCCTCTCTGGTATTTGGAAGAAAGCTGGCAGTTCTTGAAAGGTTAAACATATGATTCAGCAATTCCATTCCTAGGCATATACCTAAGAGAGGTGAAAACATATGTTCACAAGAAAACTTGCATACACACACTAACTTGCATTTATAATAGCCAGAAAGTGGAAACAATCCAAATGTCCATCAACTGAGGAACAAATAAACAAAATGTGGTGTGCATGCATGTGTGTGCATATAAACACACAATAGAATCAGCCATTAAAAAAGAATGAAGTGCTAATTCACGCTATGACATGGATGAACCTTGAAAACATTAAGTGAAAGAAATCAGACACAAAACACCCAATACCGTATGATTCCATTAATATGAAATGTCCAGAATCACGAAATCCACACAGATGGAAAGAAGATTAATGCTTGCCATGGGCTGAGCGGAAGGCGAATGGGAAGTGATTGCTAATGGGTACGAGATATGTCTTTAGGATGATGAAAATGTTCCAGAATTGGTAGTGATGGGCGTACAACCTTGTGAATATACGAAAAACCATGGAATTACAAACTTTAAGGAGGCAAATTTTATGGTATAGAAATATCTCAATTTTAAAAAGCCATTAAGAAATGCTTCTGGTTATACAGTTCAGGTCAGAAACAGGGTTAGAATTTGGGCTTTAGATTTTTAATCTCCTGTATTTCCCACTATCCTTCATTATTTCCCTAAGACAGGTATTATAAGAGATTAAGACTTGCAAGCTATGTGTTAAAAATATTAGGTACATCTGAATATATGTGTTTGTGTTACACATACATTTAAAAACAGTACTCTATAATTTTTCTTCCAAGGTCACAATTTAGTTCACTGGAACCAGGAAGATTTGGGTTCAAATTCTTGCCTCATTAACTAGCTGTATGATTTTAGTGAGTTTTCTTTTTTTTATAACTCTTCTACAACTTTCATATGAAATGGAAATACCAAGTCCCTCATAAAGTGGTTGCAAAGATTAAATGAAGCATAGAAATGCCAAGGGACCGGAAGGGTGCGATGGCTCATGCCTGTAATCCCAGCACTTGGGGAGGCTGAGGCAGGCGGATCACCTGAGGTCAGGATTTCGAGACCAGCCTGGTCAACATAGTGAAATCCCGTCTCTACTAAAAATACAATATTAGCCAGGTGTGGTGGTGCACTCCTATAATCCCAGCTACTTGGTAGGCTGAGGCAGGAGAATTGCTTGAATTCGCGAGGCGGAGGTTGCAGTGAGCGGAGGTTACAGTGAGCCGAGATCGCGACCCTGCACTCCAGCCTGGGTGACAGAGCGAGATACCATCTCAAAAGAAAAAAAAAAAGAAATGCCAAGGGACATAGCACTCAATAAATAATGATAAAAATTATATAATAATAACAAAGAATTATTTACAACTTATTCTTTATCATAGTTCTCCCGTTCCTTGCTTTATCTACTGCTATACTGTCTTGCTGTTGTCTTTAACTAACCTTTAGTATTTTTGTCCTGTCTGGCACTGCTTCATGATTCACTCTTTCTCCTAGAGAATTTCCTTCTATAGGATGTTTCCAAGATTCATCTCTATTCTTAATCCTTTACATGACCTTCATTTTCTTAACTTTTATAATCTATTTATATCTTCTTGTATTTCCTATGATCTAAGATTGCATTCAAAACCAAAATCATGTTTCCATTCCTCTTTACAAATAAATTTCATCCATCTATGTGGGTCAACCCATCTGGGACCTGCTTTTAGCTCCTAGGGACCACTCTTACGCCTCTCCAACACCAATCACATCCTCCTGAGGGGGCCCAGAAAATAATCCCTTCATTAAGACATCCAGAATTACGTTAGTGAGAAGAGCACCTGCATCCTTAAAAAGTTCTATGTTTACTCTCCATTGAAGGCCAGGAATGGCTATGAGAGATGTATCCACTGAGATGGGTTCCCTAATTGCAATGCACACTCAATGATCCTTGGAACAGAAGGGCCAGAGGGCAGCACTTAACTATCAAAACAAAGTGGATACATTTACCATAAAAGGCAAGAGGACAGATGTTTTTGCCCGCTGAGATTTTGGCTGTGGTTAATTCGTCATGGTTATCCCCAGGAAAGACAGAAATGGGCAACCTACTAGAATATTGCTTGACTGACGTAACAGAAAAAAACTCCAGGTCTGGTGGCCAAATACTTGATATTAGTCACTATAAGAGAGAGTCACTACCTCTCACTAGCTTCCAGACCTATGCTAGTTCAAAAACCCAGAGACCCCTGACTGAAGTGGAAGCTGGCCTTGCTTTCGGGTTGTTCCTGCAGCACTGTCACAAGTATATACTGTAGATCTTCCTCTAATCCTTCCTCAGAGGGCCTCATGTCTTTTTACTAGAGTGACTGTGCACTGGGGAAAGGGAAATATCCAGACTTTGCAAAGATTACTAGTCACTGGCTTTTGTATATTAGCTTTGTATTGTTGTATAACAAATTATCACATACATAGTGTCTTAAAGAAACCCCATTTATTAGCTCACAGTTTTGTAGGTTAGAAGTCCAAGGATGATGTGGCTAGGTTCTCTGTCAGGCTCTCCTAAGGCTAAACGCAAGGTGTTAGCTAGGCTGCTTTCTCAAGCTCACATTCAAGCTCACTTGGTTGTGGCAGAATTCAGTTCTTTGTAGTTTTAAGAGTGAGGTTCCCGTTTCCTTGCTGTCTCTCATCTGTGGTCTGCTTTTAGCTCCTCGAGACTACTCTTAACTCTATCTTCAAAGTCAACTATGGAGAAACTTGCTCATTTCAAGTCCCTCTCATACTTTGAATCTTTTTCCCTAGGAGTGTTTTCCTTAGGAGTGGCAAACTTCTGGAGACTCCAGGCATCACTGTGGTTTAGCAATCAAACTATACACTTATGATATTCAGGTGGCACATGAAATATCAGCCCAGATTAGACTCACAGAAGACCCAGTTGGTCCACAGATTCATCCTATGATTCCTTTTTCAGTTCCAAGATGTATAATTAGAATAGAACTACTAGGCTGCTGGTAGACTCTCCAGTGATTCTGACCCACGGGTAAGAAACATGATGAAAGGAAGGGCTGTGACAGTTCCTGGAACTTTTCCTATCAAGATAGAACTGCAGAAATTAGTACAACAATCACAGACTTTAAAGACAAAGGGATAGGATATCTACCACATCCTCTCTCAACTCATTTGTTTACACGGAAGTTTGATGAATCTTGGCAAATAACTGGATTGGTGTAAACTAGGTGGTCTCTGTGATGGCAGTTGCTATTCTGGATATGGTATTTTCACTGAGGAAAATCGATACAACCTCTAGCACCTGGCATGCAGCTACGCATCTGATAATGCAGCTACTCACCAGGCAGCAGAGACTAGCACTGAACCCCAGACATGTTACCATTATTCCTTGGGACTGGCCAGCTACCTACTGGCAGGTTGATTGTGTTGGATGTCTTCTATTGGGCAGGGGACAGAGATTTGTCCTCCCTGGAATAAAAGCATTCTTGATATGGATGTACCTTCCCTACCTATAATGCTTCTCTAGCACCACCATCTCCTCAAATGCTTTATCCACTATCATGGTATTATATACAGCCTTGCTTCTGATCAAGGAACTCATTTCACAGCAACAATAGTAAAAGCAATGGGCTCATAGCCATGGAATAAAATAGTCTTTTATTATATACCCAGAAATAGATGGCCTAATAGAAAAGCTAATCAACGGCCTAACAGAAAAGTTGGGAGACAAGACTCTGAAAGGATGGGGTTCTGTCTTACAGGATACAATAACGAGGCCATATGTCTCCACCATAACCAAAATATCCAGTCTAGGAATCAAGGGGTAGAAGTAGGAGTGGCTCCTCTCAATACTATAATAATCCACTCACATAATTTTTGCTTCCCAATCTACGACTTAAACTCTGACTGTTGGTCAGTTCTCAAGGGGAAAATGCTTCCATCAGAGGAATACAACAATGGTTCCTCTGAATTGGAAGATGCAACTGCCACCTGGCCATTTTGGGTTCTTTGTACTATGAAACAATAGACAAAGAAGGGGTTTACTGGCTAAAAGTGACTGATCCTGATTACCAAGGGAAAGGTGAATTGCTGAAACATAATAGGAGCAACAAGGTATGGAACCCAGGAGACTTTGGAACACCTTCGATTACTTCCATGACCAATAACATATGTTAATGGAAAACTACAACAGGCCGGGCATGGTGGCTCACGCCTGTAATCCCAACACTCTGGGAGACTGAGGCAGGTGGATCACTTGAGGCCAGGAGTTCGAGACCAGCCTGACCAACATGGTAAAATCCCGTCTCTACAAAGATTACAAAAATTAGCCGGGTGTGGTGGTGCACGCCTGTGATCCCAGGTGCTCAGAAGGCTGAGGCGTGAGAATCACTTGAACCCAGGAGGTGGAGGGTGCAGTGAGCTGAGATTGTGGCACCACACACTCCAGCCTGGGTGACAGAGTGAGACTATGTCTCAAAAACAAAAAAAAACCTACAGTAATTAATAAAAGAACTATTGAGATTTAGATCCTTTACGAATTAAAGTCTAGGTCATGTCACCCAATAACCAGTTGGGGTTCTGGCTGAGGGCAAAGGAAATATGGAACGGGTCATGGGAAAATAAAGATACCAATTATAACCCCTTGATCTTTTTACTTTGTCTCTTACATCTCTCATATTTTCTTCTCTTTATCAATTTTATGTTGCATTCTG